TAAATGTTAATAAGAAAAAGGTCCAATTATAGAACTTGGAGGTTGATAGGCCCAAACGTTCCGTTTGATTCAGCTCTTTATACAAACAATGCTCCATGTGCCTCTTTGTCCATGTGACAATGTCCACATTGCTCCTCCACAGATCACACAACTTAATCATCCACTTACCAGAAGCTCTTAACCTCACAACAGCAAGGTCTAAAAAGTGCATTATCCAGTGGTCGGCTTGGAAACACATCTCACATGCATGATATAGACTTGCTTTTGCTGAATCAAATGTAATATTTGGACCTATTGGCTTCTATATCCCAAGAATTTGACCTTTTAGTTGTGAAATTCCATCATCATCATCTGCTTTTGTGAATCTAATATGGTACATTTTTATTTAATTTCTATAATTATCTGAGTGAATGCTGTAGCTTGACAGGGTCCACATGGCTGCTCTCACTCACCAGCACTCAAATCCAAAACCTGCCACCTACTTATGTGGAGTTCTGGATTGCTCAGCATTGTTCCACGCAAGTGCGCTACATTGGTCCACTGGACCATGAGCCTGTTGGCCTCTGGAGCCCGATCTGCAGTTTCATGACCACTTACAACCTTTTGGTACCTGTTGCATGCTCTTGGAACCCAGCTATCAGTAGTGTGAGGTTGATTTTTAAAGGAGCTGTAGGGCCTGTGATCTCCAACAGTTTCATGCAGCATGTCCACAGTCTCTGAATGTCTCCTGAATTATGTCACTGGTCTCCAGCCACACCTCTAACATGTCCAAAGTTTCTGTCCATTTAATCTAAACAGTCTGCAGCCTCTAAAAGTCTTCTGTAACATTTCATATAGTGCATACTATGTGTGGCTACCTTGACCTCATGAGCTGCAGTTAGGGCCTCATGTACCTCATAAGTTGACAACAACTTCTGCAGACACAGAACCTTTGACAACCGAACATACACCCCTCAGTTAGGACCACCTCTTACAAAAAACAGTTTCTTGCTTTACTGCTTTAAACTTATCCTTTGCTTTGGCGTGCAGTGAAAATAACTGATCTATTTGACTGCCTTCCCCTGCACATACTCACTTAGGCCCTGCAGGAAATACCTGGAAATTGAAGGAATAGGGGAGCCCGTCATGTAACATCACTAGCCAGTATATGCTGCTGATGGGGTGGCCAATAAAGTTAACCATTTGCAGTGCTTTGCATGTACAGACTTGCTTTAAGAACATTCACAGACCAATGAGAGAACAAACATATACAGGATTGGTATCTATTGAATGATTATGGTCAGGGTGGGGCTTGAAGCAGTGGCACAGTGGGGTAGTGATTAGCACTTCTGCCTTCCAAAGCTGGGGTTCCTGGTTTGAACCCCTGGTCAGAACAGTATCTGCAAGAAGCTTGCATGTTCTCCCTGTACTTGCGTGAGTTTCCTCTGGGTACTCTGGTTTCCTCCCACACTCCAAAGACATTCTGGTAGGTTAATTAGCTCCTGTCTAAGTTGGCCCTTGTTTGTATGCATGTGAGATAAGGGCCTTAGATTGTAAGCTCCTTGAGGGCAGGGACTGATGTGAATGTGCAACTATGTAAAGCGCTGTGTAAATTGGCGGGGCTATATAAATAAGTGTAACAGTGTAAAGTCCAAACCCTTTTTTTTTTTTTATAAATGAGCCTTCAATCAGTCCATTTCTAGGTGGGTCATTAGATTACTATCAATTATTGCCTAAAGTCAACTTTGACTGGCCAATTGAACCAGTTGATTGTCTAGTAATAGCAGTCATAGTGATAGCATACTTTCGGCCTGTGTGGCGCTTTGTCCATCTATTTTTCTTGCAACAAGTGCTCTTTAGGCATACAGGATTATCTATTGTCTGGACTGCTCCCTCTCTTTTATTTTAATTATTAATCTAATTACAGCTCAAGACTGTCCTAAATCTGCCAAGGAACATCTAGCTTGAGGTAAACATAGCACTCTTATGATTCTTGAGGATGAGCCAAGACTCGTTAAAATGGATTTGTGCAGAAAATTAATTGGCAAGGCAGGATCCAATGAAAGATTTAAACTGAGGCATATAGCTTGGTATTCATATGAATGTGATATTGCTTGACATCTCTGAGCGCCGATAAAAATAGAACGAGACATTACACAATAGCACTGATACTGAGCTCAATGCACTTAGTGATATGGTAGAAAGAACCATTAATATCATACATAAAAAACGATAGGATGGAAAGGATAGTGCACTCATTATAGCATGATGTCATCTTTAGCATGATCTCATTGCTGCTTGATGTTCTCATTGCCATTCAAAACAAAATTATTTTTGGCATTTTGGCTTACTGTCAGGGACAACCAATGACACTATCATAAAATGAAATGTAAATTAGAAGTTGGTTTATATGAATGAGGTTTTAAGAAGGCAGCTCTAAACTGCTGCAATTGATGCACTTATAGCATCCTCCAGGAGAGGTTTTGATCTGTGCCAAGGTCATTCATGTCTGATATATCCGGAATGTGGTCTGGGAATGAGCTCAGTTACCCAACAGAGAGTACAGGTAAGGTATAGGACTTGGTGCAGATTGTAAGCCTACATTTTCTAGCATAAAAAACTAATATGTTATGACTTTTGTGTGTCTTGGTCCTTTAGAGAATGTTTTAAAGGATGTGAAGGATGTGTTAAAGATTCATACCAGCTTGTCTGTTAGGAAAAAATAGAGAGTGTGAATCTCCCAGCAGGGACACAGTCAACAATAAAAACATGACAAGGGTTCAAACAATACTTATTTTACTCACTGAACTGCAACTCAATTTATAGCATTTGTATCATGTGTTTTTTTCTAGATTTTTGGTTGATAGTCTGTCTCTATCATTTAAAATATACCTATGATAAAAATTATAGACCTTTTCATTTCTTTGTAAGTGGGCAAACTTACAAAATCTGCAGGGGATCAAATAATTATTTTCCTCACTGTAGAAGCTGTGACTGAGCATTGTGCCGCCATAATTAAATTCTCCATTTTGTATTTTTTTAGCTGTCGCCATATCAAGTGAAGGGTTACAAAGGAGGGGTCTGGGGCCCAATTAGGTAACCCTTTTTTTGGTACCTTGTCCTGCTGGACTACAAGTAGGAATTCTGCTGACCATTGTCCCATTTTAGGGATAACGGTAATAAAGGAGCAGTCAGTAGGACAGGGAATTACAGGGAAATAAATGTTTTGAAAGCACGTAGTCAGTTGTGGTGCTTCTTCACACTATAGAAATGTTTCTCTGTCATTGCCAGTTTTATTGTGATACAGAAATATGTTATCATTGCTATGTCTGAAAGTCAGCTTTAAGCTGCCATTAAGGTTGGAAGGGACAACCAGTCAGACTTTATCCAATGTGGATCATATGAGTCATATATTGTCTTATATCTAGCAAATTTAGCAAGAACAGTTCATAGATATTATACTTCACCCCTTTCAGATAGGTACTTGCTGGTGTTTGCCTGTACCCATATGTACAAAATCTGGATATTACTGACACTGAGCCTGTCCAACACAATATACAGGAAATGTGGCGTGGAGACCAGACCGCTGAGACTTACTCCAAAGAGGTTTTTGTTTTGGAAGTGAGTTTGTTATTGTCTATGCACCTGACACATGTACAGTAATACCTCGGTTCACGAACGCTTCTGTTCGCGAACAATTCGGTTCACAAACAGAAAGTTTGGCAAAATTTTGCTTCCGTTCGCGAACTCCATTTTGGGTGACGAACATGACCGCGGCCATCTTCACCGCAGACAGACCTGTGCACACTTTCTGTGAAGCTTTTTTGTGTGCTTTTTAGCACAAACAGTATTTGATTCAGTTCACGACCAATTCGGTTCGTGACCAGAATCGTGGAACGAATTAAATTCGTGAATCGAGGTACCATTGTATATTGACCCTAGTCTGTTCTATGCACAGTGTTCTCGCCATTTGTTGTGTGGTGCTTACTCCCAAAGGAGTCGATAGATAGATTGGTTCCGCCTAGCTTCTCTAGGGTTCAGTTACATTGCTGCCCCAAAAGCACTTACTGACCCTCCAGTGGTGACCGATAAAACTGAATTTCACAAAGATGATATGATGCTCCATGAACTTTTATGAAAGAACCTTGGGAGAGAGGGTTAGGGCACAGGACACCCAGGATGTTGTAGACTCCAAAAATGAAAGAACAAAGTACTTGCAGCCTTCACAGATAGGAAGGATCTTCAAGCTGATTCTGGTAACATGTGTTTCGAGATCCATTTCAGAATTGATCTCCATGCTTAAGTAAAAGATCAACCTCTTAGGCTCCCCTGTTGAAGTTGCTCTATCTCATCTCCCTCTTCAAACTTCACTCACTGAGCCTCAGTGCCACAGTCTGAGCACATGGTTACCTCTGAAGGCAGCAGGCGTAGGAAGATCAGTCAATCCACAGCACCTCTCCCTCAGGCAGGAGGTGTGGTGGAAAAGAGACACTCACAAGGTCAGCCCCGAATATTTATGTCTTCCCCCAGCATGCACCACTGGCCATGGACCTCCTTGAGTTTGCCTAGGTAGGCACATATTTGTAGCCATTATTGGTAACACCGTTATTGGTTGTTCTGCTCTATTGCAAGGTCACACCCAACAGCAGGCAGATAGAAGCAATAACAGAGTGCTTAGGAGAAATCAAATGCGCACAGGCTATCAAATCAGGATCAGACTGACTACAGTCTGACAGCTCTAAATTTAAATAGTCCTGCTTCAGGCAGGGTGGCTGCAATTATATTGAAAACATAACATTTGGCCTTAGACCACTTTTAAGCCATCAGGGGCAAGAACAACATCAGTGTATGAAATGTATGGGATGATCTCTACTCGGTTTTATTTGATGGATTTCATGATTATACAGCATTTGTGAAGTTTCATTTTTTTAAAAGTGTCATTGCTGTTAGAAAGCAATAATTAACATATTCATTTCATTTTCTTTTACTAGATTTCAATAAGCATGGACTGATTTTTGTGATCTCTGCGGAACTCTATAGCATGCATGGAGCTTTATCATATTAACAGGCAGCCACAGAGACTCGATGAATGCAATAATGTGGACTGGGGCTATAATGTCAAAGATCCAAAGGCCTTTTGTTATGAAAACCATTGTGTTACCTCTGCTTTGTCACCAGATCAATATGAGTCTATATCACTAAGTACCTCTGATGAAGGGCATGGCCTTAAATTATCTCAAGATGACAACAGCAAAGAGAAGAGGAAAGTTTGCTGTTTGGAAGAACTGGAAACCTCTTTTACATATGTTGATGAAAATGTTAACATAGAACATGTGACCCATCTAACTCTTAGGGAAGACCCTGGGCACCAGCACCATGCCTCGGATAGAGAAAACCAGCAAGATGGCATTAATGAAGCCTCTATTATGTCCGATGATGAAGCCACTTCAGAAGCTTCAGGAAAATCTGTAGATTATGGCTTCATTAGTGCAGTGACTTTCCTAATTACTGGGATTCTTCTCGTTATCATCTCATACCTGGTCCCCAGAGATATCAGATCTGATCCAAATTCCATCCCGGCCAGGGAAATGGAAAAAATTGAGAAGAAAAATGCTATAATTGGAGCTCATTTGGATAGGTGTGTGATTGCTGGACTTTGCCTTTTAACTCTAGGTGGAGTTGTGTTGTCGATTTTATTGATGATATCAATGTGGAAAGGGGAACTCTACAGGAGGAAAGCAATCGCTGCTAAAGACTCTGCAAAATTGTATGGGTCGATTAATTTTAACCATTCCAAGTCTGGTGGAACTGAGAATACCTTGGTCCAAGAGGAAACAGTTGACATAGTTACTTAAGTACCAATGTGTTTATTGTGATAAAAGTATATACCAGTATGATCAGTGAAATGTACCACAGATGGAGAATGGTGACTGTAGGATGACAACAAGGCAACCGAGCTTGTGCCACCATCCATCACAGTGAGGACAATGAGAAGAATCAACATTTAAAGGGAACTAGCCTTATTTTCTGTTCATAGGGAATTGGTGCTTTCCATTAAACTTAATGGATATGCATGGAAATGTGCGGCATTTTTTAACACGTATTGCGCTGTGCGTTGACATGTATTTAATGCATTTCTATTGATTTTACTGATAATACATGTTTGTTTTTCCAGCTTAAAGTGACACTAAACTCAGGAGTTATATGCATTCAAGTATCTTAATTATTAACAGAAATGTAGTTTATTTGTGCATCACTCAGCTATAGATCCTCAAATCATCTCTGAATTGGTGCTAACACTGTCCTTCCTTCTGGAGGGTGGCTACTTTTGTTCCCCGTGATGTCTGTGTGTGTTGTAAAGTAGCCATTGTTCCAAACTCACTCCTGTGATGGACTACAATCTCATGTTTTGTTTACTAATTTGTATTGAGATTGTAGTCCATCACAGGAGCGAGCTTGGAGCGCTGGCTGCATTACAACACACACAGGGACCATGGGGAACACAAGTAGCCACCATCCAGAAGGAAGGACAGTGTCAGCACCAATTCAGAGATGATTTGAGGATCTACAGCCGAGTGATATACACATAAGATACATTTTTGTTATTAGTAAGATACTTGAATGCATTTTTGCATTCAGTTTAGTGTCACTTTAATGGGAGGATACAGGAAAAATCAACTATAGCTGGATTTCTGAGAAGGAAAGTTACATAATATATTAGTGCCTTCACAAGAACAATATGCAGAAATTATGGTGATGTTAAAGTGTACAAAATCTTTCAGTACTTGAAAGGTTTCCATCTCTTTGTGGGCCATCCTATAGTGGCAAAGTACTTTGTGACAATATAAAAAAGATCTTTGTTTCCTGTATATAGTGTATTCATCTTCATCAACTTATACTGTGTATTTTAGACACCACGACTTTGTTTTCTGACATATTGCAGATCAACTGCATACTTTTAGAGACTTTATGCTAAATATTCTGTCAAGAGCTTGACGACAATGTTGTACTGATCATTCACGTGGGTAGCTGTGCTCTGCCATTATGGACAGCTTATGGACAGGTTATGGTTGGCCATACCTAGAAAATGTGTTTAATATGATTCAACACACATGCAATTTCTTTGTATTATGTGAATGGTCATCTGTGAACAATCCCATTTACATGTAAGAATCCATTCGCTAAATCAAAATAAATCTTTCTATTAAATGTTTTTTCTTTTAAAACACGGAATCAGATAATTTTACCACTTGCACAAAATGATATCAGTTGTTTTATGATTTTGTATCTAAAACTCAATTCACAAATATTATTGTACAGATTATTATTCCTTAAAGCCCAACTGAAGCCTCTACATTTCTTACTGTAGTGCAATCAGGCTTAGTATACAATAATACATTTGCTTTAATTTCTGGGTTTTTTACATCCTAAGTGCTGCAGTAGGGCTTAAAATACCCTGTACTGGCAGCATACTGGAGAGGGCAGGGCTACCCCTGCACAGCAATGGTTAACTGCTCATTTTGGTCTAGGGAACAAAATAGAAAAGTTATACTCACCCGATCCTCCAAGCCGGCTTGCTCTTAGACCATAGATACTTTTCTTTGACTTGCTGCACTCATTACCAAAAGTTCCTTGTAATGGGGTGGGTGCCCGCAGTGACTGCGGATGGCACCACAAATATCAGCAAAATGTAGAAATGTCACCAGCACACCAGAATCCTTTTAAGATAGCAGAATGTTCATTTATTTGAAGTTCCTTGTCATATAAACGTTATATATATATTATATGACAAGGAACTTCATATAAATTAACATTCTGCTATCCTAAAAGGATTCTGGTGTGCTGGTGACATTTCTACATTTTTCTCTTAGACGAGTCCCTGGAGCCTTGCTCCCTCCGCTGCACTGGTCTAAGGTCACTGAGTCGTCCTATACACAATGTATAGAATGTGAGGACGCAGAGGAACATACCATCACTGCATTGAAAGAGGAGACAGGCTGGAGGGAGCACTGTCACAGCCTGCTGGCTTGGAGGAAAACAAGCAGTTAACCCTTGCAGTGTGGAGGTAGCCCCACTGCAATGGTTAATAACAATGTTGCCTGGAATTCTTCTTTAAAGATATTTTGTTATCAACAACAAAAACTACTGCGTGAACAATGTACAGGGGATCTATAGTTCCCAAATTAAAGAGGAAAGAGAATAAGGTGGACAGCTGCACTACAGCAATACCTGGATGAAAAGTACTGAGCAGGTAGCTGTTTTCACTGTGTTTTTCAAGGTTTAAAGTGGAACTGTTTTTTATTTTCATAATTTGCCGCCCTGCAGTGCTTCTTCCCCACCACTAGATGTAGCCAGTCTTCAGGGTTGAATAACTGTCCTTCAACCCAAATTCTCTGAGCCCAGGCTGTCATGGACCCCCCGCGTTGGCAGCATCATCACACACCCTGAGCTCACAGTACTCTGGGACTAAGTGGCTCACTTTCATCTTTTTAAGGAAAATAAAAAATCGAAAGGGGGGGGGTTTACCTGGAGCTGGAATTTCACCTTCTCAAATCTGGAATTATGGAAACGAGTTGAAGTTGTTTACAACCGATGTATCATTGTGACAACTATTGTTTTTTGTTTTTTTCTTTCAAAATAAAGTGTTTTTATGTAGCAATACTGACACCATAATTTGCCTCCGGTAGTGTGAGTGTTTTCTCTGTTTGCATATGTCATACATCCTTTGCTTTTATGAGTTTTACATTCTAAATCATGACCCTAATAAAAAGTGAAATGAATTGCTGAAATGTAATGAACTCGGGAAATATTGCAGCTCTGCTGGATGTTTTATCATTCTATTATGATAGTGAAACAAGTAACTGAGGACAGAGAGAATAAACCCTGACAGTGTGTTCATAATGTATAATAAATGTCCACACAGTTGCTGATGAGTCACATAATATGCAAGTCAGCTGATTTTTTAAACACACATTAGAAAGCAAATGTAAGAATCCAAACTCTAATCAGAAATGTGTAGAATAGCAGTCAAGATTATTAAGCCATATTCATTAAGTTGGAAAAGCACAGTTGCGTGTGATACTATTGCATACAAAAGTGCACCGCACTATCTCCCACCTTCATAATGCTCCCCGTATATAACACAATAAGGGATTATATTTAGCAATAATCCTTCCCCATTTTACGAAAAAATTTAATTTTCCCATTATAGAAATGTCACATTATTTTCCGTCCCAACAGTAAGTGAGGGGAAATCTCTACAATGTGATAGAGAAGGCTTGTCGCACTCCTTACTGGAAACCCCCATATTTGGGAAAGGGTGCTTGGAATGACTGCGGATGACGCCGCAAGTTGCACCTGATATGAGAGAAATGTCACCAGCACACCAAATTCCTTCAAGGATAACACATAAATGGTCAATATAAAGAGCTTGGTGCCAAATTATTCACGTTAAGATCACTGCAAAGGACAAAGGGGCACTCTTTGCGTCTGGAGGAAAAGAGGTTTAACATTTGCATATGGAAAGCATTCTTCACAGTTTGAGCTGTGAAAATGTGGAATAGACTCCCCCAGGAGCTAGTTCTAGCTAGCTCGGTAAATTGTTTTAAAAACCATCTGATTGTATTCCTAAATGCGCAGAATATTACTGGATATTGAGTTCTTATAGGTATATTAGGCATCAGAGATTGTTAATCATTAGGCATCAGAGATTGGTGATCCAGGGAATATCCGATTGCCTTATGGGATCAGGAAGGAATTTTTTTTCCCCTGTTGGAGCAAATTGAAACATGCTTTATAGGGGTTATTTTGCCTTCCTCTGGATCAACAGGGGGTAGCTGTGGGCATAGCGTTCTTTTTAGGCTTTTCTTTTTTTTTCTATAGGTTGAACTCGATGGACTTGTGTCTTTTTTTGACCTGACTAACTATGTAACTATGTAATCAATTGTGGATTTATTGAAAACTCATGTCAAAAACACAAGCGCTTTCGGGGCCACACAGGGTCCCTTCATCAGGCATGTGCCCTACACAGGGTCCCTGTGTTTTTGACATGTGTTTTCCATAAATCCACAATTGATTATCCTTGAAGGAATTTGGTGTGCTGGTGACATCTCTCTGAAATCTCTACAATGGGCACAGGCTGCAGGAAAACAAATTGGGGTTCTACCCACACCCAGTCTAAAAATAAAAAGTGTTGGCTGGAGTTGAGTTTCAGTCTTTATGGAGACCACAATGATTATTTGTATAATGATACAGAAGATTTCTCAGAATATTAATTGGTATCATCTGAAAAAAAAAGCAATCTGCCTTGCAAGCCATTTTTATTAACCATTGATCTATTGCTATCAAAGCATCAGTGTTTTCCAATATAAATATATCAAGTTATATATTCATTAAGAAGTCTGGGAGCTTTAGATGAAGCCCAGATCATCATTTTAGATTGAGCACATTGTAGATTTTAATTCATTAAATTGTTCAAGCAGGGGCGTAACTAGAAATCACAGGGCCCCATAGCAAAATTTTGTATAGGGCCCCCCCAACCTGCACCCCCCTCTGGTGCTTGAACTACAGCATATATTATCATTTTTATTATATAATACGATTAAATGCCGTTTGCAATAGATCAGTGTCCCTGAGCTTAGGATACGTGCGTCCAGAGACAGTGATCTATTCAAAACTGCATTTAATCATATCGCGTACATTACGTGTGGCCTGCCGCTTACAGATATGGCCGCTGTCACCCAGTCATTAACTTCAGTGGGTACAGCGGCCACATCTAAGTGGGACACCCGATATTCCTGTCACAAGAATATATATGTTTCTGCTGCAGGAATGCCAGAATGTCCTGTGTAACGAGGCCTAATTC